CGAGTGACTAACTTTTGATTCTCCATTCTCCGAGTGTACTCGATTCACTCGTGCGATCATTTTCGGCAGAAAAAGCCAAAGTGTAATTGATCGGAAGGAAGGATGTGGAAAGGGGACGGAGTTTTCGCCGCAAAAGCAAAAAGGAGCATTAGCGATCTCAGCTGTAAATCAGAATCGAAATGTCAATGAGCGGGGAGAGCCGAATGACGTGGTAAAGTTTGCCAGTGAAAAATGATAAATCGACGGCATGAGTAACCGACTGTATAAGGACACTTCATTCCCGCCCCAATGACCAAGAGAGAGAGAGAGAGAGAGAGAGAGAGAGAGAGAGAGAGAGAGAGAGAGAGAGAGAGAGAGAGAGAGAGAGAGAGAGAGAGAGAGAGAGAGAGAGAGAGAGAGAGGGAGTCAGCAGAGCGATAGCGTCTTCGTCTTCCGTCCCGAGTCGGGGGCGATCAATAGCGGCTCGCTCACCTGGCGAAAGGTTTCGGATCGATCTCGTAGTGCTCGCCGATGGGACCGGTCTTGACGACCCTCGCCAATTGCGCCTCCTGCACCAGCACGAGACCCTCCTTCACGTGCTGCTCGCTCCACTGTACCCTGCACCTGCCCCTGCATTTCCCCGCGCCATCCTGCTGCTGCGTCTTCGCGGCCGCGTCCTTCTGTTTAGCGGCCGACCTGGCGTTACTCGGGCCACGCTGCCTCGACGATGTCTTGCTCGTCGATGACATGGTCGGCGCCTGGTGGTGGCTCGGCTGCTGGCTGTTCCCGTTGTATATCATTGCCGAGGATCAGCTGCGTGTCGTTGCGCGTTCCTCGGCGCACCGCGGCCGCATGGGGGAGGCTGGGCCGTCGCTTGGACACGTGCTGCGTGGCTCGGCGCGGATCTCGAACTGAGGCACGACGAGCCTCGACTCGCCTCGCGCTCTTTCTTCTTCGCTCGGTGTCCTTCTCAGTGCCTTTCGGGGCCGCGCGGCTCCCCTGCTTCTTCGCCGCTGCCACCGCCGCGATCGCCGCCACCGCCACCACCACCGCCACCGCCACCGACGCTGTATCCACAGTCGCAGCCGGTGGTGTGCCCCCTCCCCGGTCCTCCGTCCTACCGAGACGTAGGTGGACGTCCAGCTGTGAGGACGTAGGGCCCCGCGTATCCTTGCGCAAGGCCGTGCCCGATGATCTAATGCGAGCGCGCGCCTTTGTCCGCTCCTCTGGGACGGTGGCTTTTTATGCGCACCTGCTCTCCGGGGACCGGAGTTGACGAATAGGCCCCGAGCGCCGCCGCTCTCCGGCATCCTTGTGCCAGGTTATTGGGGAGCAAGGAGAGGCCGAGTCATGGGCGCTGAAACCGCGACTGCACAGGTCGCGACCCGCACTCGAGGAGACGATCCTCTATTTTCGATGGTCCGTGGGCTTGACGGGGACGGGAGGCGTTGGTGGATGAGCAGGAGGAGAGGAAGGGGACAAACGCGTAGTAATGCGTCTGGCAAGTGATATAGGTCGTGGTCAGTTTAGATTTTTGTGACGTTATTGGCGCTTACGACAGGACTGGAGTTAATATTGACGAGGGGAATGTTTTTTTCTGCCGGCGATGCGAGTTCCGAATAATGCGGTTTGAACGTGGCGGACAGACCCGAATCGCTTCTTTGACAGTTGTCGACGCTCCGGATCGTTCAAGTTGTTGCTGACATTTGCTTCTTACGTGGAGTGTAAATGGCTGGGATCGACGATACGGCATTTAGCACAACGATCAGTGCCAAACAAGAGGCCGGATGGATAATAAAAAACATTAGAATCTATATCGATTTAACCTAAGTCCCTCCTTCCAACGTCTATTTAGGCTCATCGAATTTTTTTAATTTTCATAATGAATTTTCATTTTCATGATTAATTGAATGTGGAAGATCGTAACTCCAAAGACCAATAATCAATATGCAAATTACATCTCGGCAAACATATTTTATTTTGAAATAAGCGGAGCTATTTATATCTCTGATATTTATTTATAAATATCGAGATGCGAATTTGATTTTATAGAGAGACACCAAGCGCGCACAATTATCGCGGGAAATACATTTTCTTCGCAGATACAAAACACTCGTTATTTCCCTTATTGGAGAAATTATTCAAAGAAACGCTATTAATTCAGGAAATGCTTGGCCACAGAATGACAATTGCAACGTTCATTGAAAAAATAATGTGCGAGAAGGACCTTGGCTATAAAATACACATTGGCGATGATCTAATCATGTCTCTGCGAGAGAATCTCCTTTTCTTCATATTTACCGTAATACGCTTTTCCATCCATCTCGGTCTCTCCACTTTTCCTTTCTCAAAGTCACGAATCTCTCTCGATCATACACTTACTTCGCGCTCACTTGCTTTCGGCATCCGCGAAGGACGCGCGTATGGTTGTCGCGAGGGCCGACAACGACTCGAGAGTACTTCTCCATAGGCCAATCGTCGAGCACATTTGAGAATACAATTTCATAAGAGGCAATGCGTGCAATAAAATTACATCTGTAGTCTCGAAATTCGATCGGCTTTTTTGCCAACGACAATTATTGCAATTATCTACGAAAATATGCCGCTCATGTGAAATTATATCGAATGGATGAAACAAAATTGAATTTTTTGCGCGCGTATCGTCAATGATGAATTTTTCTACCTTTTTCTCTTACGTAAAACGATATTTCTTGGATTTGAGAAAATTCAATCGACAAAATGTCATAAAAATATTTGCGTTTCATTTAATCGTTTAGATGACGGAAATCAATCGTTATGAGAATTTTAGCGCATCCTCGTATTCGAGACATGATAAGCTATTACATTTTTCATTCCATTCGCACTTATTTTTCTAAAAATTTTCCATAAAGAATGCCCATTTATTCGTACATGTTGAGAAAATGATAATTGAATGGAACTAAGTAATAAGTAATCGCTGTTATTACGTTTATTCAAGTATTTGCCAACGGGAAGTATGATCATTAATTAAAATTGTCGTTCATGCAAGTGACCCTTAAGTGTATATAAAAACATTACACGGATGATGATACAAACGATTTGATTGATGATTTTGTTTACTAAAGAAACGTTCGCAGTACATTCGGTGGTACGAAAATTAAAATATTTCTTCGTATTTTCATTAAAATTAGCTTGGCAATTCATATTTAACGTAACGTAATTATTTGTAGCTTTTAACGAAGTATTTCTTATCGTTGTAAGAGACACTTCTTTTTTTTTTTTTTTGCCTAACGAAACCCCTTCAAATTAAACCAAAATTATGTGATTTATAATATCGGCGAAATAAATGTTTTTTCGAGTAATAAAAAAAAAATATGTGGGTGTGTTGTTTAATAATATATGAAGTGAAGGATTGCAATTACCCGAAAGGTCCTCATAATTAACTATATAAATATAAAAATTCTACGTAGAAATAAGGCCAAAATAAAATTATACTCATTAATGAAATCGATTTCATCAATTAAACGCGTTTAAAATAATTGCGAGCTACACTCAATTGAAGTTGTCGAGGAAATAACACATTCGCAAGATTATATCATGATAATTTAAGAATTAAAAATATACGTATTAACGGTGATAATATTACAATTTAAATTAATAAGTAAATCTGCAATAAAGCGAAGACAATAGGGAAATATCGGGAAACATCGTGTCATTTAATTTATTTTAAATAAATATCGCGCCTTAAATTGTGAAACATCGAGATAATACAGATGCTTATTGTTACATAAGTATTGAATTAACTCAAATTACTAATTAAATATATCTAAGATCAAGTGATTTTATTTTATTTAAAAAGTAATTTAACGAACGTCTATTGTATTTTTAAGAGAAAAAAAAAACCCTTATTTCTTTTATAATACCACCATAGTTTAAATATTTAATTTCCACCTTTTCACATAAATTGCACATTTCGTAAGCAATACTCGATGATGCTTTATTAATAATTTGTTGGTTGATTAAAATTTATTTTGAATGACCATATTCTGCTAATAGTCTGTAATAAATCGAAGTTTATTGTTGTCGAGGATACAAGGATTTGCAGCGAAGGATTTCTTTTACGATAGGCAGAGAAATGATAAAATATAGACATTCCAAATAATTATGTGATTTATTGTATATTGTTATTAAAATTATAATAATAATCTATTAAAATATTTACACAGGTCTTCTCGAATATACTCCTATATGCACTTGGCTTCTTCGATAATCGACGCTAGTGTAATTAGGTGGTAAATAAAGGATGGATGAATGATTTTGTATGGTCGAGTTGATGAGTTTGTGTGTACGCGCGGGGCGCAATTATTCCTCACACACACGCGCGCGCGCGCGCGCGCGCGAGCACTCTCTCTCTTCGGCTCTGTGCGTGCGGGCGCGCACACACGCGCGAGCGTACCGTCACGCTCTTGTGTCTGGCGATCAAAATGTGCGGGATGGAAGTAATAATATATAAATGGCGATGATAAGTATATTGAATTCGCTTTAAATGAAATAAGTGGCGAGGATGAAAGCAGTCAAAACTCGAGAGGAAATGAGGAGAGAGATGGAAAGAAGCGAAGCGGAAGATGGCAGATGATCGTGAATGCCAAATTAGTCTGCCGGCGACCGATGCAATCTTAAATCAGACGGAGGGCGGCGCGCGCCCGCACACACACACACACACACGCGCGCGCGCGCGCGTGCGGGAGGATTAAAGTCGGAAGAACGATGCGAGAAACTTAAGTGTACACGTGAAAGGGCTGTTCTTTGGCCTTTGCTTTAATACGCGTAGTTTCGCCGAAGCCAGGAGTGTCTCAATAATACGGCCTTATGAATTCTCAATTACTTTGGAAGACGCGTCTGTAAGTCATTTCGATTAAAACTCATTTCGCTCCTAAATCACTCGACGCTTCCACTCGAATATCTAAAGATTGGCCTTTTTTTATTTTCTTTTCCACGGTAAAAGGAACGCGAGGGATAAACTTGCGCATGGAACTCTATACGCATGCAGCACACGATACAGCAACAATTATCATGCCAATGAATGCTACGAATATCAATTATCGTGCAATTGTCCATTGTACAATTCTTGACACAATAAATAAAACGATATCTACATTATATTTGTAGTGTACCATCTAATCTCAAAGCAATTATCATTCGCATCATTTCAATCGTGCTCTTTATGGGCAGAAGTGCACAAGGAAGACTACCGAGAGTGCTAGAGAAAGCTGTTAAAAGAGAAAGTTGAATTTATAGAAAATTAAAATCGAATCGCTAGAGCAATATTATTGTAACCCGTTAAACTAATCCGTTAATAATGTTACGCATGATAATTGCAATAGTTTCGATAGTACAAATTTATTAACGACACTTTCATTGTATACTACTATTTCCATACAAGTCTGTTTAACTTAAAGGTAATACACATACATACATACGTACATACACACACGCATACGTGCGTGCGCAGTTTTATAAATATATATATATATATATATTTTATTTTTTATTTTAAAAAGGAATATTGATATCGTACAAAAGTAATGATATTTAACAATTCTATTTTACAAATATACAATATTTTACATAATAATATTACATCGCATATCGATAAGACATTCGAATGTTTTAATATAATTACTTCTTGTAAAATTTCGATACAAATGAAAATGCTTCTTCCAAAGTAATTAAGCATCCTCGATTCTCATTTAATGCAACAATGAACTTCAATTACAGGCACGAGTCTGCGATCATGGCTTAGACGTAGTGGCATGAACTTTTAAAACACATCAATGCAAATAGCCCTTGTGACGTGAACAATAACATGTCCGATGGTTCTTGCTCGAACGGTGGCATCAACCATTTGAAGAGGGAGGAGAACGAAAAAGGACTTGCCACGTGCATTTTCATTAGCTACGTTTTCTCGTGTCCTTAAATTCATTTGTTTTGCGTATTTATTGATGGATACGAATCGATTGAGATTGATGCATAAACAAAGAATTCTGCGATAAATGAACTTTTTACAAAAATTTCACTAAACAATAAAATACCACATTATTCTTATTAAATAATTGATAATGATACAATAAACATTGTAGTTATCGAACATGGGAATAGTTATTTTACTATTTTACAGAAAGAGCTTTTATATATATATTATATTTAAATTAATTACTAAATGCTTTTAAACGATAATAATAATAATAATAATAATAATAATAATAATAATAATAATAATAATAATAATAATAATAATAATTGTAATAATATTAATATGAAGAAGAAGAAGAAGAAGAAGATGATGATGATGATGATGATGACGATGATGATGACGATGATGATGAAATATTAATGATAATAATAGTAATAGCGATAATAGCAATGATGATGATAAATACTCTCAAAACAAAGCATTTCGTAAAGAATCACAAATTTCTTGTTTAAGTGCACTCAAGCTCTGATATCATCGTATAGCGAGGAATTATTACAAAGCAAACGCAACGTTAATATTCCAACGTTATCACGCGACAGGATGGGTTTTATGATATTGGAGCAAATGTAAAATGTAACGAATAGAGAAAAGGAGCACGAAGAATTAATGAAAACGATGTCGCAGGAGTGAAATGACATTACTCGTGATTACAGTGGACAATAAGAACGTGTACTCGCGTCCGTAAGAAAAAATTATGAGTCCCTCGACCGAGCACGGAAAAAATGTCGGATTAACTCGTCATAGAGGAGAGAAGAGTATACGATGATTGACAGAGGCGAAAGTAATATACAAAGCGGTACAGTAATCCGATAATTATGACTAGCGAATAGAGCTTTTATAACACAGACGCTTCCCTTTCAAAACTAACCTAAACTGTCATGTCTCGGAATAAACTCGATTTTCCCCTGATCTTCGTCCAATTAGCGTGGCACGCTGCTCGAGGAAAAACTCTCCGATACAAGTTGACGACAATGCTTACATAAAGGAAAGCGCAGCTTTCTGTTTAACACCGTTCGTTTGACATTTAGCAATCTTAACTCGGAATATATTTGTCCGCGTATAGAAAGGGAATGTAGACCGCCAATCGTAGCAAATTCACGTGGACGAGACAAGAAAACTAATATCCCGTGATACCCATCCGAAGAAGCGACAAGTTTTTTTCTTCATTTTTTGCCACAAGTGCGTTTATTTGCGTCATTGATTAACGCGTACACATTAATGGTAAAGGCGGCGCTAATGCGAAAGATGGAGAAATAAACAAAGAGTTGCAAGGCACTTTGGAAGGGAGTTGCGTAAAGGATGCTTGAAGAATGTTGATCCTATCGGTCGATCGCTCGACATCTAACACCGTTTATCTTTTTCTGAATTTTCATTCTATAATGTATTCGAAGCATGGCGTGGTCGCTAAGATCTCCAGATTAAAGTAGATGCGATCAAGATTGCAAACGCGTAAAATCGAGGCACGATGTATGATTTCGGTTCAAGAAGATTTATGCACATAATGTACAGCTTTATCAACTACGTATAAATATGTGTATATATATATATATATATATATATATATATATATATATATATATATAGATATAGATATAGATATAACGAAGTAGAATAGTCGCTGAATATTAAAATGTCGTGTTTCGTTTACGTATAAGTTAGTAGGTTTTTCTTTTTTGTATAACATGTATTTTTTGCATTTATCGACATTGAAAAATTGAAAATTCATTTAAAGCGTCGGTTGATTGGCGCTCGATTTGCCGATTACGCATTTTACGTACATAATGATATTTTCCATTGATTGTCTAGTGTTTGCAAGGCACTGCTGACGCTCGTTTACATTATATTTTAATTTTTATCGACGGCCGGAAATTAAGTTTAAACACAAGATAGAACATAATGTTAGCCAATCGGGGACCCCCGGAGAGGGGGAGGAGTCAATCAGTCTCTAAGTCTCTATCGAGGAATCGGCAAACTTTTCGGATTAACCGTGATTATCCATACGCTTAATCTTCTCGAGCACGCGAACCAACACGCTTACGCATACATACATACCGTAATTGAACACATGCATTAACACATGAAATTCTTCTCTCGCTCGTAGACTCACGCATTTATCCCTTTCGTTAAATTTCCTTACGTTAATGGATACTCCGAATATTCGAGATTACACGAGGCGCAAACTATGCCCCTTGCGCATTAGAAGGTGATACGTGCGTGTGTGCAAGAGATCGCGTTACGTATGTATGCGTGCGAGCGAGTATTTATATATAAGCACGAGCAGGTAAAACTACTTGTATTTGAATGGAGTTGGAGGGATGATATGATCAGCCATTAAAATACAAAAAGTTTCGCTATTATGTCAATCGGTATTAAAATATTTTGATCACATTGCAAGTCTGTTGGGGTGTGCGTGTTCTTGTAAGACCGTCCGATCGTTCGATATCGACGTTACCACGCAAAGTGGTCGAACGGCTTCCTTCCATTTCTGTTTTTTTTTTGTTTTGTTTTTTTTTTTGTTGTTTTTTTAGTTTATTTATTTATTTTTATTTTCTTTATATCAATTTCGTTCTTGTTTCTCTTGCTTTCCCTCATTCGAGAATAAAATCATGCCCACGCGTGTTAAGCGAACACCCACGAAACGAACGAGCAAACGGAGCTCACGATTCATTTAAATTAGTTAAGCTTATAGCAGTCATCCACGTGTCTTCCCTCTTCTCCTTCATCTTCTTTGTTGCGCCGAAGCTGTGCTCATTAATCGATATTTACAGACGTTGATCGCGCTGTAGTAGAAACGGCAGCTGCGTTCAATTTACAAACGATAATACGAATCCCATCCACCCGTGAAGATCGTCTTCGGCGGCGTCGCCCTACGACGAGCCGTGCACTTGGAATCTTCGGATTCGCGCCTGGACGGATTCGCACTGAACCTCGCTGTATCTCATGTACCTTCCAGCTCGCACTGGTTCCCGGATCACCACCAAGTTCTCGCCTCTGGTGCGCAGTGCCTCGAGTCCAGTAATGCTACGAGTCGTGCTCGCTGGAAAAAAAAACAGGACACACGGATTTCGTTAAAATCGCCAATGAGCACTGTCCTTGCTCGCTCGCTCACTCACTCATTCGCTCATTCATTCGCTCTCTCTCTCTCTCTCTCTCTCTCTCTCTCTCTCTCTCTCTACAAATATCTTCTTCTTTTTTCTTTTTACCATATACTAAGCCTAAACCGATGCAATTAATATGCTCATTACCGGCTTATGGTTATTGCGCGGCTTAGTTTACGAAAAGCCTGTTTAACGTCCAGCGTCGTTTGCACCAAAGCTTAACTGGCAAAATCTTTTAAGCGTACAACAATTGGGAATGCGATAACCGCAGCCAACGCTCTACGTACTGTCCAATGGACGAATATTGCATCCAATGGCAGCTACCCGATGACAAGCAGGAGATAATTATTCTCGTTACTCGTTACTCTACGTTCAAGATGCCAGCGAAGCTCAAAAGTGGAAAGAAGAGAAAGACAAAAGTAGCAGAGAAGACATCAGTGGCTATAATGGCTTGGACAACCACCAGTTGGGTTACAGGGGGAGGGGGCTCACACACGCACGCACGCACGCACACACACACACACACACTCTCTCTCTCTTTCTCTCTCTCGCTCTCTCGCTCTCTAGAATGAGTGGTCGGGGAGCATGAAAAACGTGACTCGCTTACTTCTGGTGGCCGAGCTCGCGGCGCTGCCACTGGAGCTTGAGCCGAGGATGACACCCGGCGACTTGCACGTCGAGCCCGCGCCCGAAACGTCGTGGTAGTGATGATGATGATGGTGGTGATGGTGATGATGGTGATCCCCGGTACTGAAGCGACTCAGGGCCTTGCTGACGACGCCGTTGCACTCGCGTGGCCAGACGCGGGGCCCGTGACGCAGGCTGGTGTTGTTGCCGGGCCCGGCGCCTCCGGCCCCGGCGCCTACGAGACCCGTACCGCCGTTGCGCTGCTTCCAACTATGGGACTCGCTCGCGCTAAATGGGAAGCTCACGCGGCCCTGACTCGTCTTGCCGTAGAGGATGAAGTCGAGCGAGTCGTCCGAGTAGATGCTGCTCCGGTCCGAGGAGCTATCGGTCGAGATTTCGGAGACCGAGTCCGAGCCACTGTCGCTGCACTGCTGCTCCTCGCCGAGGATGAACACCGGCGTGCACTTGAAGACCTCGCCGGACGAGCTGCTCGTCGTATTCACTGGAAGAGAGGCAGAGCTAGTGAGGCGTGCCCGTTTGAGTTTACTAGACTTGTCGCTTGGACGGTCAAGGCGATTCTGCTTGGCGGATAAACGATGGGAGGGGACGCCTCTTCCCAAGGAATCGCTCGTGAAACGAATGCCGGAGTCTCACCTGACGATCTCCTGGATGAAGTGTCCATCTCGAGCACACCGTCGTCAAAAACTTCGAGGAGATCGGCACTGGCGGAGAACTTCCGCGCGAGGAAGTCCATGCTCCTTTTGAAGTTGCTCCGGCGCTCGGAAGACAGTCCGGCGAATTGATGCCTCAAAGACGAACTGGTCCGCGGCACCGTCGAGCTCATCCTTCGGAGATACACGTAGTCGGCGGATCCGCCATGGCAGGTGCCATCTTTGTCGCATCCCGGCGACGGAGGCGCCTCGAGCGGACAGCCCGTACCATCGGGTTCGACGTCGCTCGTTACCGGCTGTTCCTCTGCCGCAGCCTCGATGACAAGATTCGCTGTCGGATGCTGGGGCTCGTTATGGCAAACCTCGTGGCAAATCTCGTGGCAAGGCTCGTGGCAAGGCTCGTGGCAAGGTTCGTGGCAAACCTCGTGACAATCGTCGTGGCATACCTCGTGACACTCTCCGAGACATTGTTCGAGCGCATCAGATTCAATTTCGTTTGGATGCGCTTCCACGGGTTCGATCGTCACTGCTGCTGCTGCTGCTGCTGCTGCTGCTGCCGTCATCGCTGGCACCGTCGTTATCGTCGCCATTGTCGTCGTCGTCGTCGTCGTCGTCGTCGTCGTCGTCAGTGTCGGCGTCGGCGTCGGCGTCGTCGTCGTCATCAGTGTCGCCATCGTCATAGCCGTTGCTGTCTCGGCGGTCAGCGATGCCTCTTGAACGCGCGCCAGTCCGGACGAGGATGAGATGGAGCTGGTGACGATAGTGGCAGCGGTTGTATCACAGGGTGCGATTTCTCCCTCGAGCGACTCCTTCGATTCCACGACTAAGGGAGAAAGTGGGCAGGAGGCCTCCTCGAATTTGCTCAGCCACGAATGTTTCAGGCATTCGCTCGCTGACAAACGTTCGCTACAAACACGAAAAAATTCATTACAGATACACTGGAATACTTGTATTTATTTGAAATTGTATACCGCTGCTTTGCAAAGTCCGATATTCCATTTCTTTGGACTTGAATTTGTAAAAGACATTCGAAAGAAAATTACTTCTGCACATTTTTTTTTTTTTTTTTTTTTTTTTTTTTTTTTTTTTCTTTTTTTTTTTTTTTTTTTTTGTTTGTTTTTATTTTCATTATAAAATAGCTATTTATCCGCAAATAAATTACCCATAAAATCTTATGAAAAGCTTACTTTGTCCGGACACGCTCGCGTCATTAACAATGACATTAATCGAATATCAACGTGTCAATTCGTCGTATTTTTGTGACTCAATACAGGTAAGAGGCCAATGACTAAACCTTACGTACATTATTAAAAAGTAGGCGAAAATAACAACTGTCAGACATCGAGGTGTACAACAATTGCTTTTTATAACGGAATAAGAATCCATGTCCCATAAAATGGCACGATGTACGGGTCGTAGATTGAATTGAGAGAAAGCGACCGAGTCAAGGCAGGAATTAAAGTAAGAAGAATCATGGATGAATCGTGTGCTCGCTCACCTTGGATTCTTGACTATGAGTCGGCGTATCAGGTCTTGGGCCTCCTCGGACACCTCCTCGAAGAGATCGTCGGGAAAATCGAGTCGGCAGCGGCTGATGTTGCAGAAGGTCTCCTGCTTCGTGTCGCCGCCAAAGGGCGAGCAGCCCGTAAGAAGTACGTAAAGCAGAACACCCACCGACCACATGTCCGTCGCCAGGCTTATCGGCTCATAGTTCAGTACTTCCGGTGCTGGAAAAAAGCAGGACACGCTGCTTCGTTAATAATGCATGAATTCATAAGGCACCCACAGCGGAAGGGGACCTCTTTTCGTCCCCCCCCCCCCCACTCACTCACTCACTCACTCACTCACTCTCTCTCTCTCACTCTCTCTCCCCACCCCCTTTCCCCACCACCGGCCGGCTCTTAGGTTTGCTCGCGCACACGCACCTTACCACGGCCCCTCTCGCGCGCTCGTTCGCTCGCTCTTTCTTCGGCTGAACCCTCGTGACGCGAGGTCGGCAGTACAATCAGCCGCGTCTTCTTTTTCATCGTCCCACATGAAGTCGAATTAAAAGGAAGAGAGAAAAACAACTACGATCTTTCGAAATCGTATACCACGCGATTGCCCCGACCACAGGCCAAACGAATAATACCGCTTGACTTTAACTGCTCGATCGGTATATTTATACAACCACACTTTCCGTCGCCCTTTTTTCCTTCCCAAATCCCCCCCCCCCCCCCCCCCCCCCCCCCCCCCCCCCCCCCCCCCCCCCCCCGCCCCCACCCCCTCCTACCGCCCAGACCACCCATTCACCATGGACTTTTTTTTTCTCCTCGTCGTCATTGTTACGTAGGCTTTTTAAAGTGTGACTGCATGAGACGAGGCGTTGTTTTTCTTCTTCCTTCGATTAAATTACAACTTTATGGACTTACCAATATAGTCGGGTGTTCCTAAAATTTCACGAATGTCTGCACCGTGGCTGATATACCGGGAGATGCCAAAGTCGCAGAGTTTTACATCACAGTCTGGAAACTCGCCGGTGAGGACGAGATTTTGCGGCTGGAAGTAGAAAAGTAAAATTGTTCTTCATTCGAATGTCGAATCTGCGTAAATTTCATCACAGTGCTTGTGCAATGACGATACTATTGATAAATAAACGACGTGGGATTAAACAAGAGCGAGCACTGTAGCATAACTTTTCATCTCCGTATTTGGCTAAAATTACATTCCCTTCACTCATTACTTTGTTATTAAGATTATTACGTAACGATGAAGCTAGTTGCTTAATTTTACAAGAACATTTGATTAGATTTAGCATGGAATGTTCGCCCCGTGGTACCCGGTTGGTCGGTAACGATCTCACTATATAGATCCCAGCAATGTGACATAATTGCATTATAATTCGGAGCATGCCTTTCGCAATAATTGAGAATGAAATTGAGAGAGAGAGAGAGAGAGAGAGAGAGAGAGAGAGAGAGAGAGAGAGCGAAAGTTTTACGTCAAATGCAAAACCACAACCGATTCACCAAGACATCGGGTGCAAAAAGCGAGAAGCACGCGCGCACTCGTATATATCGAAACGCAATAAAGCTAAATAGTGATCCCTTATCCCCCGATTCTAGTCATTCGCGAGCCAAAGAGTCTTGAAATATCGAGATCGCATTCCAGAGCGACGCCGCGTTATCGGCGTCCGTCGATCGTTATTCAAAGTAACGATATGGACTTCTCGCTAGACCCTTTTCACGACCAGGAAGCGTCGTTACGCCGGACATAATCGCATTGCGCAACGCCCTGGAATTTCGCGCTTCCCTGGCGTCTGCTTTCTTTATGGGGGAGGGAGAGTTTCCCCACTCGTAAGCCCCAGTGAAAATGCATAACGCTGCGGTGTAGCACGATTGTTCATCCACTGACTGTTGCACAATGCCAGTTTTTTCACATTTCCCCGGGTTGTATAATTGCCGCGCCGTCGAGGTTTCCCTTATTTTTACACTGTATTAGTCTTCTACTTGTTTGCGCCTTGCCTTGCGCGCGTCCTTGCACGACTATAATAGCGGCGCATATCGAGATCGAATAATTCGCTTAGCGACGCGGATGGAGATTGGATCCTACGCTCCTCGCGATATTAAAAACGTTTCTTTGGCGATAACGAATTTCTTACTCATCGAGACAAACTTGGTTAGAGGTTAGAGTTATTTCTGTGCCGTAGCCGTTAACGTGCGCGGGTACTTTATTGTTATTTGTCCATTTGCCTTGTAATGACAAAGAATAAAACACGAATTTTGTAGTCGAAATGAAAGTGTGTTATGCATGTAGGCGCGCGCAGTACATACGCGGGCAAAAAGGTAATTGGATCGACAATACGAAAGGAATATTACGATTTATTAAATTAATAATTCGATATAGTACGCGTCGTCAATCCATTTATAACGATTCTCGCGCTTCTCCCTCCGAAATCCATTTAGTGGAGCGAAGGGTTGAGGCGACAGATCACTTTGAAAATCTCATTTATTCAAGTAAATCGACGACGTCATCTTTACTTATTGTCAATGCGACGTACGAGTGTCCCCATTTTTTTTTTTTTTTATTTTTTTTTTTGTTAAGCGTCATCTTCGGTTATTGTCGCTATAACCGACGCCTGTCAATATTTCGATTTTTAGTCACGGATATTGTCTGATGTCTCGCATGTAGGTGTCGAAATCAATTTACAACGGTTTTCATGCTCATTATGTTTCTGCATTTGAATTTGCATGATAATGTTATTCTATCAAAAAGAAAAAAATACTATTTATAAGATCGTGCATCATTTTATAAAATGCTTTAGTTCTATTAATTCGCGTATTTAAAATCTTTGTTTGCACACGCAAAGAACAACAGAATTTAGCACTAGAAGAATAACAAGTCTCATTAATGACATTGGAATTTAGACAAATGTTTTTATAATTGTTCATTTATTCGTTTTCCTTCCTCTCTCTCTTACGCACGCACACACACACACACACACACACACACACACTCTCTCTCTCTCTCTCTCTCTCTTACTCGCTCAATAATAATAAAGAAATAATAAAAGATAATAAAGTAAAAGGAAAAGAAAAAGTCAACGAGCATCCTCGAAATGATTCGTTCGATTCGTATGCAATTTTCCCAGAATACAAAGAATAACGATAATTGGTAATACGTTGTACGCATTTTATTTTTAGTATATGCAAGCCAAACCATAAGACGAAATTCCAAGGCGAACTATTCAAGGAGCACTTTGTTTTTCACGCTTCCCACGCTCGCAATTGTTCGTATCGCCGCATTAAGCTCTTCCCTTCAGCGACGCTTCGAGACGTCAAAAGGCCGCGTGTGCACATACGTGAGCGTGATTTCATATGAAAATTTGACGTATAGAATGATTCGCGAGCGCACTAATCAATAAGATAAATCCTGTTAAATAATCGATTCCGTTGAGTTACGGCGAAGTTTATCGCGGCCATCGACACAAAATGCCAAGCAATAAATATTGCTTTTAATTAAAACGATTCGTCCGATATTTTCTTGTAGGCTTGCCTCTAAGGTTGATACATACGTTGCATTTTTACAAAGGCAAAATCATTCCCTCTTTACGTTGCTTCAACGCAACGCGTACGGGTGTGTACCCCCCCCCCCCCCCCCCCCCCCCCCCCCCCCCCCCCACACCCCCCCCCCCAACAAATCGCGCGCTTCAACCTTCAACATATCAAAAAGGACAAGCCGTCAAAAAAGACGAAAACTTGTTTGCGCCTTTGGTTTTTCAATAAACTCGTGATTTCATATGATATAAGCGGCATAAGTCTCCGACAAAGACGACACGACTTATCATCGACTACCTTGCTTTTTATTTTTGTCTCCGCAGGACATCGCTTCCTCGCGCGATAAGATAATTATCTCTGGACGCCCCCGTCGGCCAGATGTGTAGAGAAAAGGAAAAAAAAATTAGATGACGGAGAGGCCATTAAAATGCTTATCTTTGGAATAGCATGCCGTTCACATGGTGGATGGGGGTGGAGGGAGAACCGATGGTGCTTATTGCCGGCGTTAGGGACAGGAAGACGACAGGCCGCGCGATCGAGCCCCGTGATCGCTGGCGGCCGTCACTTTTCCAATCATAATGAAAAATCACGATTGGAGCGCCGTCGGTGCGACTGTGCCCTATAAAAGTTCACTCGACTGTTAGGGAGCTCGCGCTCACGCATCGCGATCCAAGCCTCCTATCAACCCCTCAACCGCCCCCCGCACCACCACCCCCTAACCCTAACCAGCAACCCAATCACCCTTCTCCTGACCCGCCCGTCCGCAACACGCACCGACTTCGTTTTAACCGGCACCGCGCATCGGCGCGTAGCTTTAAAACAAGGCTTTATTAATTCCACAGCTCCATGCTACGTGATTCGCGAAATTGATCGCGCGTGTCTATCGTAGACCAGCCCCGCCGTCCCCTCTCACCCGTGCTCTTTTATCTTATCTCATTCGGGCGTGGGTATTGCCGCCACGCGTCGCTACATGACTCTTAAAGGGGCCCGATAGCGTGGCAGGCATTTGTGTTGAATTCGATAAAAGGCGAAGGGAAGGTAGGGAGACCCGGCCGGTGCTCGGGAAGCGGAACAAGGCTGTGACCCCGCGACGGCTGACGTGCACTTTTCGACCGGCGGCTCGTGACAAAATGCCGCCGTCACCGATTCGCGATTACCTGTGACCGGCTATCGGCCTACACCGACTTCCCGGTATGAGAAAAGGAAATTGTAATTGGAAACGCCAGTAGGTGAGTCGGAGGGCAAGGTGGCGGGGTAGCGCGGGAGAGGGAGAGAGGTGAGATAAGGCTCGGATCACCCGTCGCTATCCCACGATTTCTAATGGCCGTTTGTAGACAGTGTGAGCTTCCGAGCCGAGTGGATGGAAATCAGCGACTCGCTTACTCGACGAGGTACGTACAATTATTGTGCCACGGCAGTTATTTTACAGACGAATCGTTCGAATTCATCGTTGCACCGTACATTTTAGTTGTATGGCTTTTACGCTAATCACGGAAATTCAATCCAATAGTTTCAGAGCTCAGGAGTAAAAGGCGTTGGCTAGTAGGATTATCGAGAGAGTAAAGTCGTTTGGGGGGGGGGGGCGTAAATGCCCAACTATACGAGCATTGCCTCTTATTCCGGGCAAATATTTCGCCGAACGATATGCCTTTATGATAAATAGGGAAAAGCGAAATAAAGTGAGCATCGGGCGACGATTGGTTGAGTTGAGAGGTGGTGGGAGGGAGAGACGAGGAGGAGGAAAGCACAGTATTATTTTGAGATCGGATGTTGTACGAGAAGTTACGAAATAAAGTGTGCGAGCGCAGCGTGCGGTTGCACGTATTAAGCGGGCTTGCGTTATAATTAATATCGGTGATTTATGCGCACTTTCGGCGAAGCGAGCGTAAAAATTATTTGTATTATTTCATAAGCGTACCGTTACCGTTGGAAAACTACGTGAAAGCTGTAATCTATCGCCCCGATATTTTACCGAAGCAACAACGAATGGGGATCGAATCATTTGGTCTCAAATGAAACGAGAGCCCGTTTAATTAAAAACTCGGCGTTCTCGCTTACGCCCGACCGCGGCCAAATTAATTGCCGAAACATTTCAGGCGCACATTTTGGCGGCCTCTCAAAAGATAATGCCCAATGAGCATTTGATAAAATTGCAGAAATACTTGTCGGCACATTTTTCAAAAATCCTTAAACACATACCCACGAAATGTTATACGTATATTAATAAATATCGCGCAAATTGACGCCTACCACCACTCATTAAAAAATTATCCAGGCAATTTACCTTATTAATTGGTTTATTTTACTTCATTTTTTAAATCCCACGTTTCTCCCGATAAATTATAGCTCATTTAAAGAGCGAACATTAACAAACACATATTTAAATCGAGAGATTCATCCAAGGATCTTAGGATAAAACTGGATCCACGGGAGAACCGATCGATCGCCATATTGGCAAATTAAGAGCAGAAATCTCTTAATTATGATTTTAAAGGCGAAGATGGAATAGCGGCTGGTAGGGACGGGCCGGAAGATCAATTCCTTAGCCAGCCTCCTCTTCCTTTAATCGCTATCTATTAGCCGTCATTACAAAAGAAAAAAGAGAAAGAAAAGAAAAAAAAAAAAAAAGAAATGGAAAAAAAAATGAAGGAGAAAATTAATAAAATAATGAAAAAACGTTTAAAGCATCGATCGTGCCGCACCCGACGCGCAAAAGGAGTAGCGTGGAATCGCGCGCCTCGATCATGCGCGGCATTACACGCATTGAAGCGAGGTAGGTGGCCGGGGACACGGACAATACGATCCCTCTTACGCCTTAGAATGTCGTTAATGTCCGCGACGACGGGCACCAGGGTGAACGCGGGCGCGGTTCACCATGCGTCACGAGCATTAATCGGCTTGCGACCCGACTCCGGCTACCGAATAATTATTCGGTCGCATCTGCGGATTCGTAATAACGCGGGTGATCCGTGCATGACACGCACGGATAATCGACCGCTTATTACACCCAAGACACTCGTCGAGAGCGGACACGAGTCTTTCGATGTCCTAACCGCGCGCATTCCTTCGAATTGGCGCGATGAAGCGAGACGAGGCAACGAGTTAGGCTAGGGTGCACCGAGCAATTTCTCCATTGTTTCGCCAAGGTCAGCCCGCTAATGAAAAAGAACGGCCCCCCGGGATTCTCCAAAAACGAATGATCCCGATTTATTAACTCCCGCGCTATCCCCTCCCGTATCATTAGCACGAGAGATGCTGTGATTATGCTCGGGGATGTCCTTTCGTCGGTGGACCATAAGCTTATCGAAATCGGACTTGAATTCTCGTTGACCAATGACTAAATATATAACTCTTGAGATAATCGGACGCGAGTGGCTCGGCGAGTAGCTTCGTTATTACGGCACTGATAATCCAAAAGCATTATGATCCATTATTAATTAGCGAGCGTACGTTCACCGACGAACGCGAGTTCGTAAGCGCTCGCGCACGATGATTTACTTCCTTATGGCGTTTAATAAGATTCGATACTTTGGCGTCGATAATCGCCGCGAATCGTGAACATTGTGCAAATCAATCCGGCTTAGGCTCTCTTAATATCGCGTTCTTACGTAATGCTATGGGAAATACACGGCCCGGCGCGTTCTATTAGAAGAGCAATGGAATTATCGTGATTGCAATACGCGAGCTTTGCAATTAGGTTTAAGGGTAAATCGAGGGTCGTTAAGCGACGGAAGCCAAGTCTCCAAGTGCTGGCGGGAACTGGTATTGGTAAAGTCGCTGAGAACGTCGTTTCAATAAATGACGCAGAAGCGAGAAGACGCCTTCCATAAACTTTCAAAGCGCTTGCACCGACCTCTCGCTCGTTGCCCCGTGGCGATGCTTTTCTTTTCCGCGGCGCGACGCAAGGTGTCGGGAATGGCGAAACGGACTCGCATGCGTGGGCGTCCGTTTAAAATAGGAAAGTCGATTGCCTTGGCTTGGCCAACCGTCGACCCCCACCTCCTTCCCCTTTCGCCGTTCTACCTCGTCGGCGTGAATCCGGTGCGATGGATAACGCGACCCGCGAACATTGCATGTGAGAGTACGAGACCGATTATTGATCCGTGTCCGGCACGATCCTATGATGATTTGGCAAATCGAGATGATTTATGGGTGACGCTGGCCCTTCGCCTCTTTTCGCATTGCTATAGTTTCGTACAATTACGAGCGCGAATATCGCCAAGTGGGAGGTGAAGGAAAATTTTCTAAAAATTTTCCTTACTAGCCATCGCGTCATTATCGTACAAGGATTATTATTATTTGGTGCTCAATGCCGCTCTGCCGTTGTTTTGCTGTTGACGACGTTCGAGCTTTTACAGTCGGAGAGCCGGGATTTTTTTCACTTTTTTTCTTCTCATTGTATGTTTTGTAAAGCGCTAAATATTTGCGCGCCGGCAATAGTTACTTTCGCTCTATTAGACGGGTCGTCGCGTGGACAAGATTAAGAAGAGAGTATGACGACTAAACGCTTCACGATCCGTGCATCGTCAACTTGCAATTATTAAGACAACAATCGCGATTGATACAAGAAGGCGGAAATTATAATGCTACAGTGGCCGATAGGAAATACAGATATTGGAGATTCTCGAGGGCCTAATTGACGAGGCACTGTCAATGTCGCGGCCTCGTAAGTCCGCGATCGAGAGGATCGCGCTCGTAATGAGGAAGGGGCAAGTAAAGAGAGAATGCCACTTACCTTAATGTCGAGATGCGCAACGTTCAGCGAGTGCAGAAAGGCGACACCATCCAGTATTTGTTTGAGGAGCTTGACGACTTGTCTCTCTTCCGGAATTTCGTCTCTGTCGAGGACCATTTGGAGCTCGCCACCGGGAGCCCTGCGATAAGAGAGGGATACTGTGAGGCTCAATGTCGGCGTGTAGGAGCCGATTATTTCGGCTTGCTTATGCAATTTCAAATAGTTGCGAGTTTCGAAAGCCCCGCCAGCCCGCGCACTTGCCTATCCCACTTTGACTTTGGCTCACCCGCGAAACGCGTGTTTATTATTATACTCGGTGGAGGGGGCAGTCGTATCGATATGCCCATTACATTAACGGTGAAGAGAGCGTCAATTTGTCTGGATTATTTAGCATTTGTCGCGCAATTTGTACGCCTATAATTGGCTCTCGGCTCGTGCATCTCGCTAATTGCCGGCGTCATTTACATGGATGCATCGATTAAGAAGGAACAGCGCGGATCGGCGACGACGCGTTAACGCGTAACAAGAGATACGCGAGTAGGGTAATTGGCGGTAGAGGATGTGAGCGAGTGAAAAAAAGCGACGGGACGATATTTAGCGGCCGATTGTAAAAAATGTCGTGCATTAATTTGAAATTGAGAGAATAATATGGACTTCGGGAGTCGCTAGGTGAATCTTAAAGGGCAGCTCGAGGATTATGAATGAAACGCGTTGGGCAAGGCTTTAACGGTAGAAATCCCGACCCTCGAGATCCGCTATCTCTTTCGCTGTAGACACACGGACAGCTGAGAAAGAGAGGGTAAAACAGAAGCGAAGGAAAAAATGGAAAGCGTGGCTTGCACGCAAACGAGTAAGTAGCGTACGACGCAGTCGTGCGCGCGTTATTATTCAACTTCCTTGTACTCGGGTTTCTCTATTTGGCGGCCCTGCTAAATAATAATAATAACCATCGGCGTAATAATTGCCGGGCAGTCCTTGCGCGAGCCAACAATTAGATAATCTTAAAGCAAAGTTTCTCGCACGTTATTCATAAACGATGAAATTATTAGCCGACGATGTGCCGTTTACGGCATGACAAAGGCAGATGACATAAATATTGATAAGGCTTCGGTTGTAAGTCTGTTCGATAATTGCACACTAGCAGATGTTTTTTTTAGCTCTAATAAATATAAAGTAATATCGAGTAAATAGTCGATATTAGCCAATGACTAACAATGCAAATTGGAGCTCGTAGTTGAGGCTGAGTTTTGTTGTTAATTATGGGCAGATTTTTGATTATCTGACGAGCGGATCGAGGAGAAGATTTTCCGCGCTTTGTAGCAATAAACTCGTTTAATGAAGCCAACCATCCCGACGATAATCCCACGCAAAAAAAACAACAACAAAATTGAACGAATTATGAAAAATGCCCCCGTACATGACATGGCCCGTATGATTAATGTGGCCTTTGTTATGGAAAGTGACTTTAAGAAGCTTGACTTGATCGGTGCGAGGATTACCTCAAAATTATAAAATCAAATCAGGTTGAGAGACGCGGAGTGAGATAGTCCGTGAAAAGAACACGAAGCGCACGGACGATGAGGCGCCGATATTTTATTATTCATAGTTAAGGGCGCTCGTGTAAGTTGGCTCGAAGCATTTCATAAAACTCTCGACACATCCGATTGGCGGCCATCTGATAAGCGAGCCTTGCTCTCGCTCGCTGGGGCGATTCTATTTACTCTCTAGCGCGCGCAACACGCGCACATGCGTAAATGCGCTTGTGCGTGGGTCGTCTTTGTTTTTGTTGCGCTTTAAAACATCTTTCGACAAAAAGAAAAGAAAAGAAAAGAAAAGAGAGAGAGAGAAAAAAAAAAGAAAAGAAAAAAGGAACAAAAAGAAAAAATGGCGTTTACTCACAGTTCGAGGACGAGGACCATTTCCGTGCTTGTCTCGAAAACCTGGTGGAGAGAGACGAGCCTCGGGCAGTTGGCGGCGGCGTCCAGCACCGCGACCTCGTGCAGGGCCTCGGCTCTCAACTCTTGGGCGCGGCGACGCTTCCTCAGGAACTTGGCGGCCCATTGACGGCCGCTCAACCGCTCGCGGCATCGCCTCACCGTCGCGTACTTGCCCCTGAAAGCATGAGGTGCTCGTTTAGCATGCGCTTACGTAGCTGTGCACACGTCGGTAACGCCGATAACGCCGGCACCCATTACAACTCGTCGACGATGCGCTATGATGGATGGGCGAGAGCGCGGACCTAATGGCGTGTGGTGGCGGCAAGCCGACGAGGAGGTGAGGCCCGTGATTGATTTCCATTCTGGATTTTTTATTCGATCGCTCGCGAACCACCCCGTCGATCGTTATGCGGGACGTTTTGCAAGATGCTATCTGACGCGCTTTTTTACCTCGCTCGTCACGAGAATAATGAGGCGATTGTGAGAAAAAAAAAACAAAAAAACAAAAGAAACAAAAAAAGAAAAACGGGGACGGATCAAGTATGATGCATTGGGTGGCTCGAGTGTCTCGTGGAAAGCTAAGCTAAGGGTACACGAGAAATAAATATTGCTCTGTACTTTATATGAGGTGCGTTTTATTCGCAGCAATGTTATACGTCGATTCGAGCTCTGAGCTACTAAGGATGAAGCATTACCCCCCGAGATTTAAAATAAGTACTAAATCATGATATTTAGACGATTTCGTCATATAGTAATTGGAAGAAAAATATCAGCCACTCGACTCGATGATAATGAAGCGTCTGGCACTTACACTGCACCTGAAAAATTCTGTATTCGTTGATAAAGAATAGCCACCGTTAAGGTCGCACGCCCATTGATAAAGCAGGGAATACTACAAATTATTACTCGAGGTGCTCGCAATAATTGCATAAGCCATCCATGACCCGTATTTCATTGGCCTCGCGCGCCCACCTTTCCTTGACTTACAAAAAATTTAAAGCGCCGACCGCTTAATCGACTTAAAACATGATTCCCCGATGCGAGCGTAGACGCAATGGTCTCGTGGTCGAGTGGAATGAAGCGAGTCTTCGCACTCGCGCCAATAACGCCAGTTTTCGTTTTATCATCCAGCCGAGGGGACGAATCCTTATCTCGATAAGAAACATTACGAATGAAGTCATATAATGAGATACTGCGGGAGATAGGATTTGCGCCAGGCGATATAGGAGCGCGAATACGATGGCCGGGACGCTCGTGCCACTGACAAATCGATTATATCGATTATATTAACGTATTAACCATTGACAAATTAATATTCGATTCTCGCGGAGCGCCGCTAGACGCCCCGCCATTAGCTATCGCTTGGCCGCGTACTATTTTCTTTCCTCCCTCCTTCGTCCGCTCGCCGGCGTCGGTCCCTCGACCCGCCGTTACACGTCCAACCCCTGCGCGATCGAAATCTTAATAATAGAGCGCCGCCGGCTCTCATTGCTCTTATTGCTTAAGCGCTTAATGGACGCGTTCGCGCAAGCTGCGTGCATAAAAAGCCCTAAAGGAAAATAATAAGAATGAGTATGAAAGGGGGGTTGGACGAGCGAGCGAATCCCATGAAAAAGCACTTTGCTCAATATATTGATATTATGTACCGCCGCTGCTGATTTTTATCGGTTTTTCTTCTTTTATTTTATTTTTTCTATTTTTCGAATACTTTTTTTGTTTTTTTTTGTTTTTCTTCTTCTCGAACGGATCGGCGCCTTATTCTCTCCGCTCGTTAATTAGGGAATTTTTTTTTTTTTTTCTATCTTATTCTCGACCTTTGGACGGTCGTAAATGCGACTTACCCATAAGCAGACCCCCTTCCCTTTACCACTCGCTTAACTTCGCAAGAGCTATTAATGACGCGATAATGATGCGAAGGTGTTAAGTGATTTGAATATTTGAAGCGTCAATAGATGGATGCAAAGATGGTGTTTTCGAAATTTGACCGATTGTAATAGTCAGAGGATGAAATGGCTGCGATAGAAGCGCAATAAGCGGCAAATCTATACATTTTGTATAGAGGCCCGCAGGCCGCATGTCGCAATTTATTTTCATCGCTCCGATCGAATTTACGACTGCCAGATTAGATAAAATCAAAGTTTTTGGTTCAGCGTTCGGAACAAATATCACTTAGCGCTCTCTACCGGGCGCACAGTTCTTTACGCAAGAGAAACCGACGATCCGCTCATTTGTCGCGCCTCGTTACATCCGGTATTAATCATCGCGCATATCGTGGCCGCCAGACGCTCAAAAGTGAATTTTCCCCTTTTCCCAAAGGCAGACATTAATCATGCCGAGCGTGAAAATGCCCACGACCAGCCAGCCCGACGGTAATACGCGTCCGAATGGCTCTTACCGCTTAAACAACGAATTATCATTGCGCTCGTAACGCGTAGGTGCACGAGCGCAATGCCATTACTATGAATGCCGGATAAGCATCGATTCGCGCAGGTAAATAATCGCTCAAACGCTAAACAGAGCGGCAAAACGGTGAAACGGTCTGTACAATCTCAAGCGGGCATGGGCCTCCCGATAAGCCATCAACCCGCGCGTTGAATAATAATTCCGTGTTCTAAGGCGTATCGGCCGAGGGAATGTCGCGCGATAACGGAGCCGAAGTTTGGAGCGGAGGTAAGCCGACGAAGGAGGTCCAACCAAGCGACGCCTTCGTCGTCGGTGCCTCGCGACTCCCAGCTAGCTACCCGGGACGATGTTCCGGTTTGAGCGACTTTATGAGCCGTTTGCGGTACACCACCGCCGCCGTGGAGCATAAATATACACGTCTGCGGACGTACGGAACAACACCGGGAAACACGTTCCACGTCTCGACGAGCACTTTATCTCTCCCGGGGTTTGTGTTCGCGCTCGCGTCAGATTGGCAGTTTCGCCTTATATTGCGATGGGCCGCGGAGTAGTGGCGAGGAGAGCGGGACCGGGCGGGAAACGGGAGGCCTGTAGGTGAGGTGGCGGTGACGGGTGGTGGTGGTGGAGGAGGAGGTGAAACGATTCCGTTGGTTTGGCCACAGGTAGCGAGTACACCTATGTATACCGTTTTTTTTTATTTTATTTCTTTTCTCTTTTCCATATGTCTGGTCTGGTGCGGCGCACACAGCTCGAGGTCGGTGACGGTGGCCCATCGGTCTACCTTCGTAACTGTCTTTATAATTAAACGGGCTGCGGTAGCGGGAGAGTCGCTGAAATTTCGTGCGTCTGCCAATGACGTCTGCGCTCCCCTCCCTACCCCAGCGCGTATTAATTCGTAACATCCAAGAGAGAGAGAGAGAGAGAGAGAGAGAGAGAGAAGGAGAGGGAGAGGGACAAAGTTTTAAAACGCCGGCTTCGTTATCGCGACGATACATTATGCAAAGTATCGGGGATCGGGTAGCGGCGCTTTGGCGCTGGCACTCGGATTAATACTTTCGACGATTACTTACTGCAAGCAGCGTTGCATCGTACTTTCCTTACGGTCGCCGGCCAATTTTTTAGCCGTGAGCGCCGTTGCTTCATTATTTTAACATAAGGCATTTCTTGAGCGAGCGCGCCCCGTTACGCAAGCTGCAATGAATTAAGATTTAAGCGCACGCGCGCACGTACGCGCGCACGCACGCACGCACACACGCACGACGATTAATATCGAGCGTTCGATTACGGCATCTAATAAGCCTAATATTGTCCGTGAAATCTGATTCTCCTCACCCTCGCCAAACATCTCTGGAGGCGAAGACGCGGTTGATTGCCGAGCGAAAGGGTCAAAAAAAGCAACGACGTTCCTTCGGCTTTTAAACGCGACTAGGATACAGCCAACAGCCAGGATGTCGTTGCGCTTCGTGCCGAGCGGATGGCGATCACGGCAGAGCGGCGAGAGGGAGAGGGAGAGGAGAGAGTAGCCGAGAAGGCACGGGTGAAAGCGCCGAGTTGAGATCGCGCGACACCCCGTGTATCACGTCGCTCGCGAGCGCGTTACGTAAATTTCGCGCACGAAGAAACAAGAAAGGTAGCCCCGTGAAACGCTGGAACAACGGCTGGAATTCAGTCTCGTGAGTGGGGGAGAATCGTGGCAAGTTGGCGCGCGCTCCATAGTGAAACAAAGATAAATAGATAGATAGATAGATAGATAGATAGATAGATAGAGAGACGGGGAAGGGGGAGAGAGAGAGAGAGAGAGAGAGAGAGAGAGAGAGAGGGAGAGAGAGAGGGAGGGAGAGAGGGAGATGGAGGGGGATAAACAAAAAAGGATGAGAGACTGAACGTATGGCGCGGAGCGGGGGAGTTGGAGGGGGAGGAGGAGGTGAGCTTCCTCATCGCGAATCCTTTATGGGGTTTTGTCTGTTGATCCTTGACTGTATATTCAATCTCGATCACGATCGAATATCTAACGACGCGACGAACAAGTTCATGATTTTCCCACGAAAACTCGGCGCGAGGCTGTTCAAGTAGTATTGGTATAGGCGCACGTGTGCGCGCACGTTTTCGTTTTGACGATTAATGCTTGTGTTGCGCGCGCGCGCGACCGTAGGTGAATACTTCTACTTTGCGCGAGAGATGTTTTAATTGAACGCGACGTAGGGACAAGCGCGACACCAATGTCTATAGGAAGCCGTGCGTAATTATAATTTTAATTGCGACACCTCTGGGGCCGTTATATTGGGATCGAAGGCCAGGCTGATGAATATGGGACGACGATTGCGAGGAGCACGCGGTAAGCTAATTGTTTCTTACGTATTTTTATATCGCTGTTATAGAATACACGATTACTTATAGATCATTTATGGATCTGCCAGTAGCAGCCTATCAATGAAATCTCCCATCCCCGAACAATTTAATAAATAGTTAAATATTATCGCGATAATATTAATGTATTCTTTAGGACATATGTTTGTATGTTTAATGGCCTTAAAAAATCGATACGCACGCCACTCATAAATTTATTCGGATCGCGACCAATGAAATATGAGTCGATAGTTGACGCTCGAGAATGCCGGAATCTTTCGAAAATTATTACTCCTTTATATACGAGAAAATTGGGTCAGCGATTTTTTAACGAACGATCCATTACCAAAAATATAAGCCTTTTTACACGTGTCAGGTCACGAGTCAAGCCGATAAATTTATTATCACTTACGATCGTGTATAATTTCTCGAGATAATTAGACAATTATCGCCAGTCATGAAATGACAAGTACAATAAATATTCCATATCTAGTGGCCAAAAATTACAGAGGTCATCGAAAGTTTGATAAAGGCATCCGCCGACGACGAAAGTGACGACAAAGTTGACGTCCAATCAAATATAAAATAAAAAAATAATAAAAGCTAAATTAA